AACAGAACCGTGGAATGCAGGTAGCAATGCGAGCTGCGGAACCAGTAACCGCCCAACCAAATGGTGTTTCGACTACCCACGGAAGACCTTCACCTAGAAAAATCTTCCTACCCGAGTGGAGTTCCCAGTAAGTTTCACTGCCGATGACGAGGTCGACAATTCTGGGAATACTGAAGTGAGGATCTGCTAGCTTTACATCCGGAATTTTCCATGCCGAAATGTCAATCGGCGTTGTTTGGAGCTCCGATGATGGCTGCTTCAATACCAAAAACTGCAATTTCATCGAGATCGTTCGATCTACCGACTCGATGGTTGCGGTAATGGCAGTACTGACATTCTGTGTGGATGATCCAATGCCTGCGACGGACACGTTGACTGTTGATCAGCAACTGTAGAGGTTCTTAGCTAGCGGTTTCGAATTGAAATTTGACATCGATGCTAAATCGAGGAGAGCTCGGACCGTAATCGTCGATAATGTTAAGAACAACCGTTTCTAGCAATGTCATGGTGCATGCAGTTTGGACTGCCATGCTGACTTGGCGGGAGCCAGAAGGTTCAACGATTGGTTACGTGGAAGGAAGCGATTGTTGAACCGAGAAAGCTGATGGTACAGCAAGATTCGGTTACACGGCAGAACTTCGAGACTCAGCTGAACTGGATAGAATCGCTGATACCTTCATCGGAGCAGGATCGTGCAAGAGAGAATGCTGTTTATCGTGGCAAGTTCGACAAGTGACTTTGGAACCACACTTCTTGGATTGGTGACTGAAGCTTAAGCAGTTCCAACATAATCGTTTCTGGGAAACCAGCTCGCGTCGCTGGCTGACAGCTTCGAATTGAACAAGACAGTGGACATGAATACTGTGGAGACGAAGCTGTTGCTACATTGGCTGATATCTTTGACTTGAATTCTTTATTATCGATGCCGGCCACCTTCATTGAGGTGAATTGTTGCGAATCAGGTCCAACGGAATTGGGAATCCGAACTCGTTGATAGAGAAAATCGACCAGTTCCTCGTATGTCACGTCGTCCCGTTGACTTGTCTTCTCTTCCCAGGCTCGTAGCGTTGCTTGATCCAGCTTGTACGAAAGTAAATTGATGAGCGGCGTGTCCCAATGATTCACGGGTTCACCCAGTTTGGCGAGGGCGCGAACATGACATTGATAATCGTCGAACAAACCGTGAATGCGTTTCGAACACTCCTGCTTGACTGCTGGCAAGCTCGGAAGAGTTGCTTTTTGAGGTATCGTCAGTTGTCGTTTATCTTGATCAGAGCATCCCATGTTGTAGCGTAGTTGCCGGCTTCGATGTCAACTGATTCGAAGGGTTTCTTGGCATCCCCTTCGAGAGATTGGAGAAGATAATGCAATTTGGCAACTGTAGGTATATCACCATTTGCATGGACCATGGACGTAGATGTGTCCCGGAATGAAATCCAACGAGAAAAATCTCCGTTGAATTTCGGCAAATCAATTTTTGGTAGACGTTTGGAGTGAAATGTTGCGGAACCAGCATAGAATTGTTCATCGACTGATTTTGATCCCAAGTGCGATTCGTAAGTAGAAAGCCCTTTGCCTTGCAGTACCGCTGTTCGAACTCCACACGTTCGATGATATGCTCATGCAGTGATTCTGGTTTATCCAACTGTTCAATGGCATCCTGACAATCCAAAAAGTTTGCGTTCAATTGATCCAACGAATCTAATCGTACACACAGTTGACTGGCATCGCGATCTTGATCGTACTCGCGAACAAACTTCTCCAATGCATTGCGAATCGCAAGGAGTCCCTTAGGTTAGCCAAACGATCGCCCAGTTTTGACGTAGGATTACGTATTTCGGCAACATATTGGGGGGTGCAATTTAAAAAAAAACCAAAATCGACCGCAGGACGAAAATAGGTCAGGTTTTGACCACATATAACTCTGTCAATAGCAGATGAATTTTTATTCTAAACAAGTCAAATTATTGGGAATTTATCTACCAAACTGCTAAATTGAACACTATATTAATTTCCAATAGGTCACTATTGAAAAATACACAAATGTCCAACTGTTGCAATGGTGATTAAAATTATCACCGATTACCTGCAAACAGCGCGTTCTCTAACACAGATTTAAAAATAGAATTCGATCCTGTCTCACTGAACGATGCTCATTCAATCACCGTGTGTGGTGGTGACCGGTCGTCAACGTCAGCAGCAGCAGCAGCAGCAGCATCAGCAGAAGCAGTGCTTTCAGCGTGTGGCGTCAACATTGTTCTCCAGTACACCACGAAAGGCAGCCTGCAAGCAGTGAGCTGCAGAGCCCACATGAGCACCCATAGAAGGAGGAAGAAGCCGCTGGATCGAAATCAGTTTCCTCATGAGTAGCTGTGGGTCATCTATGCCAAGCGTGTCAACCTTGCTCCAAACAATTAACAGCTCGCCAACCACACCCCAATAGCTCAGCATTACTCAACCATCACGACTAAACAAACAAACCACAAATTTGTTAAAGAGTATGTTTTGGATATTGTAAAGGTTATCAATCGGATGTCAGTTCCCGCAAGCAGCTAACTATCAAAGCTATACCTGGTCTATAGAAGGTGTGGAATTGTAGGCCTGAATGTATTGGTGCAATTCGTTTTTCACTCGGTTTTCATTTCGATTCGCACGATTCGTTTACTCAGTCACCCTTGTAGTGACGTCATAATGTTTGTTTCGATCGGCATAGGAAATTAATATGAATTATATAATTTGTGTATGTTACCAAAATTTATGAAAGGTCTGCCTCTAAATGTTGAGTTAATTAATTGATTATTGAATATCACACTGTGTATACCATGAAAAAGCAGCCTGTTTGTGAGTTCCATATAACATACAGCTCGCCAGCCTTATCCGTGTTAAACACCCTAATAGATCAGCATTACTCAACCATCACGACAAAACGGTGCAAATTGCAAACGGGGTGCAATTTCAGAAAATCAAATTCGACCGCATTACGAAAAGAGGTCAGGTGTTGATCACATACACATAACTCTGTCAATAGCAGATGGATTTTAATTCTAAACAAGCCAAACGATTGGAAATTTATCTGGCAAATTGCTAAAATGAACACTTTATTCATTTTCAATAAGTCACTATTGAAAATGCACAATGTCCAACTGTTGCAATGGTGATGAAAATTATCAACGATTACCTGCAAACAGCGTATTCCCTAACACAGATTTAAAACTCGAATTCGATCCTGTCTCACTAAACGGTGCTCATTTAATCACCGTGTGTAATGTTGTCCGCAGCAGCAGCATCAGTATCAGCAGTGCTTTTGGCGTGTGGCGTTGAACATCGTTATCCAGTACACCACGAAAGGCATCCTGAAAGCAGCGAGCATCCATAGAAGGAAGAATAAGCCGCACCGCGATCGAAATCAGTTTCCTCGTAAGTAGGCACTAGCGTGCACAGGAATCTTATGAAGGAGGGGCAATTGTTTTTTTCTAGGTGCATTTAATCTGGGGATGGGGAGTACTACACAGTGCGGGGGAGATGGTGATGTCCACCCACCACTGTTTCCCTACTGTTGAATTTAGCTAATTTTATTTATTTTTTACTCTGGTGGTGGTTTATCTTCTTCAATGGAAACTGATTTCAGACAGCCAATGGAATTGGCAATTTAATCCCATCGACAATGTCGATGATTATCAGTTCGGCTTTAACCGAAATGATACATTTGCTGCAATTCTGTTGCCTTGGTGGTTGGATTCAGCTGAAGTCACTTCAGATGGTGGTGATAGCACCGGCAAACCGACATGAATGACCAATAAGAATCGCATTCTCCTTTCGCATGCACACTGCGTCGACAAGTACAAAGTTCAAACAGTGTGCATAACAGTGAACAAACAGTATATTGCTCTTGATCAATCCAATATTGATCAGTGGTGTTCAGTACTTGCCACTGATGAAGTCTGCAAGTAGGGGACGAAATACGCGTATCTGTCAAAAGAAAATAAACCAACACACTCAAAGCTCTTCATAAAAGTATATTGCTGTTTTCGTCCTTGCACTTGGCTTGTACTCCAGCAGTGCTGCCAGCCATTGGGCTGGCACCGTCAAAATATACTGCCAACACCTGCTCCCAAGAAATCTGCATCGCTGTCAGGACTTCAGCAATAGTATTGAAGATGGTCGTCGCGTCTGTTTTCAAAACCCGTCTCACACCCACGAATGTTTCCGTCGGCCGATCATTATCAATATACCTGATGACAATCGCCAACTGCTCGTGGTGCCCACAATCGCTCGTATCATCTGCAAAGATTACCACTGGTTTTCCTCGCAAGGATTTCGCAATGTTCCGCAACATTACATTGTGCAACGATGTAATCATGTCATTTTGAATACGGTCACTTGTGTACTGGCAATTTTTGGCACCTTCCGCCAAGTGTTTTTTCCAGCACAGGATCGTAGTTAGCCACCAACTGGGTGGCACACTTTCCGCTCCTTCCGAATGTTCACGAAGTGGTCGGCCTCCTTTGCAAAATATGCGCATAATATCGATGAAACGTTCCATTATATAGCGATTTTGTAGCCGCTTTGCCTTACTAGCAGCAATCATACCTCTTTTTTTGGTGGTCCAGTTCTTCGTCGATACCCTTCATGATTTTGAAATTCTTCCATGCGTCCATACTACCAACATGGGTATTACTGCGATTGTGTTTGCCCAGCATCTCGGTCGCTTTCTTCCAATTTCTGAACCCTGTAGGAATCGTTAAAATAATTTTTTGCAGCATGCTCTTCTTTACAGGTTAAAAATATAAACCAAAGAAAATATATTCTTCAAGGTACTGGCATCATCTTTTAGGCAGTTACCTTTCTGAAATTTTGTGAGGGACGTTTTTGTATATTTTGAAGGGTACAGTTTATTTTTGACTATTTCAAGGTTTTGTTAGCCCTTACATGCTGTTGTAGTTACACACTTAACTATTACCGTTGCGAGTACGTTGAACTTGGTCAATTCACACCAGCAGTACCAAAAACATCATCCAAGGAAATGAATACAGCCGCTACAACAACGCCACCTCCGACAACAACACCATCAACAATAACAACAACACCAATAACAACAACAACAGCAACAACGACAACAACAACAACAACTACTACAACAACAACAACAACAACAACAACATCAGCAACAACGGAAATGGAAATATCACATGGACATCATTACCCCTGGACAAAGAATTATTAGCCGCAGCACGCATACAATTTTCTGGACCACCAAGTAAAGACAGTACACCGAAATTTATAAATTTTCAAAAAGGGGAAACTATTAACTCTTACCGCATAGAAAAACCTAACCCACCACTCCTAGACCCTATGCGCCCGCCTGTCGTAAGGCTTACGGAACAATCTGCAGCCGGCGACAGACGCTTTTTGAAGGCACGCCTGCGGGACCCTAAAATCATGGATACTGTGCGAACCTATCTGTCTTTCCTGCATAACCAACCGCCTTCAGTATGTGTCCGCGGAATAACGAAAACAAGTTCAACTTTAATGCTAGCAGCCGAAAGATTACCAACGGACACACAACTTTTGCGCGAAATTTTTCTGGACGTCCACGAAGAACTTGGAATCCCACGCATTGACGCCCTGGCAGACCTGGAATCCCACCGTGCGTTCTTATCTAGTGAACGCACACAACGACTGCAGCACACACGGGAAGCCGCATATAAATTCTACAGCACCCAAAATTTTCCTCGACATTGACGCACACTTCGGAAGAAACCTCATCAAACGACAACACTCTTCGGACACTTTCAGAAGAAAATGGAAATGTAAGTGTAAATAATAATAATAATGAAAATATTTTATCAACCAACGTACTTCCAACAATTTCTTCACATAAACAGAATGCGGCTGAAATTTTGATTTACTGTCAAAATTTCAATCGCATGAAAAGCCCAGCTAAAATGAAGGAAATCTATCAAAATTTATTATGCTCATCCTTCTCGGTCATTCCGGCAACTGAAACAAGCTGGGACGAAAGCGTGAAAAGTGAAGAAATCTTTGGAAACGCCTTTAATGTATTCAGAGACGACAGAAATTTTCATGCAACTCAGAAGAAGTCAGGCGGTGGAGTCCTTATAGCTCTTTCGACCAATTTTAACTCAGAACTCATCATTACACCAAAATTTACAGAATTTGAGCATATTTGGGTGAAATCACACATAGCCGGTGAAACGCACGTGTTCGCCTCAGTGTATTTTCCACCAGACCATGCTCATAAAAGCACTTATGAAGCCTTCTTCCAAAGTGCTGAACAAATTCTATCTGACCTTCCTCCTGAGGTTAAAGTTCACATCTATGGAGACTTTAATCAACGCCATGCTGACTTCATTCTGGACTCTGAAAATGAATGTATCTTACTCCCAGTCGTTGGGGATAATGAAACATTGCAGTTCATTTTTGACAAAACTGCTAATTTAGGACTGAACCAAATTAACCACATCAAAAACCAACAAAATTGCTATTTGGACTTTTTACTAACGAATATTTATGAAGATTTCTGTGTGACCGAATCACTAAATCCACTGTGGAAAAATGAAGCGTTTCACACAGCAATTGAATATTCTTTATTTGTGCATGAAAACCAAAGACCCAACGACTGCGAATACGAAGAAGTCTTTGAATACAAATTAGCAGACTACGAAAAAATAAAATTTAAATTAAACAGTGTCAATTGGCAATTAATTTTAAGGAATGTAGGAAATGTCGAAATTGGTATAGACGTGTTCTACAAAATTTTAACAGAAATAATTTCGGAAGAAATTCCTTTGAAGAAAAAAATACGCAACAGAAACACACAAAATCCAGTCTGGTATAACAGACAAATAAAAAACTTGAAAAATCGGAAGCAAAAAGCACATAAAATTTATAAAAAACACAATAGTAGCAATAATTTATTAATTTATTTGGATCTATGCGATCAACTGAATTTAGCTATCAGTACTGCATTTGAAGAATATAATGCAAAAACAGAACATGAAATAAAGTCCTGTCCAAAGAACTTCTTTAATTACGTAAAAACCAAATTAAAATCTGACAATTTTCCTTCAATAATGCAACTAGACGAAAATGTCGGTGATAGCTCGGAAAAAACTGCAATCTATTTGCAAAAATTTTTCAAGAAATCTATACGACATTTTCTGAAGAAGATCGCGACCGCGTTGACGAAATAAATAAATAAATTTAAGAAAACAAAACTGTATTCTAATATGTACTAGTCTACGTTGGTTGACGAAATAAATAAATAAATTTGCAGCGAATACTAATATCCACTTTTCAATTAAGGAATTCAAAAGCTGTCTTTAGACTTTGTACGGTTGCAAAAAAGTCCATCCTCAGAATTCCTTGAGGTTCTTTTCAAAATTTTTAAAACTCTATGAGCTTTTTTGAAATTCATCTCAGTAGTCCTCTGGAATTATTTTTAGAACTCTTCTTGACTTTTATTCAGAACACCTTGGAACTAAAATTCCCTTGGAGTTTCAGAAGAATTTCCTCAGTATTATCCAGAAATTATTCTCGGAATGAGCTAGAAATTATCGGTACTCTCTTGAAATTTTTCTCAAAATCCCTTTAGTATTCCACTCAAAATTGAAATTTCTCTGTATTCTTTTCGGAATTATGTTGGAACTATCTGCAGGATTCACTAGAAATTATTCGTAGAGTTTTCTTGGAATACTCCCCAGAAATACTATGGAATTGTCCTCAGAATTCAATATCCTTGAGGTTCTTCGCGGATTTTTTTAGAACTCTCCTACGAGCTCTTTTGATATTCTTCTCAGAAGTCCACTGGAATTATGCCTAGATCTCTTCATGATTTTTTCTCAGAACACGTTGGAACTCAAATTCCTTTAGAGTTTCAGAATTTTTTCCCGAAATGAGCCAGAAATTATCCTCGGAATTCGCTTGAAATTTTGTTTAAAATCCTTTTGGAATTTCACTCAAAATTTGATTTTCTCGGTATTCTTTTCGAAATTATTTTGGAACTATCCGCAGGATGCACTACAAATTATCCGTAGAATTTTCTTTGAATTCTCGCCAGAAATATTTTGGAACTGTCCTAAGAATTCAATTTCTTTGAGGTTCTTCTCGGAATATTTTATATATATATTTTATTTTATTTTCTCAGAACACTTTGGAATTGAAATTTCCCTAAACTTTCAGAAGAATTTCCTCTGTATTCTCCAGAAATTCTTCCCAGAATTAGCTTGAAATTATCCTCGGAATTCCTTTGAAATTTTCCTCAACATCCCTTTGGAATTTCATTCAATATTTGATTCTCTCGGTATTCGTTTCGAAATTGTCTTGTAACTATCTGCAGGATTGACTAGAAATTAGTCGCAGAATTTTCATAAAATCATCCCCAGAAATCTTTTCTTTTGAAACTGTCCTCAGAATTCAATACCCTTTACGTTCTTCTCGGAAATCAAGTTTAATATGTCTGTCCATTCACCAAAAAGTAGTAGTTTTTCTACCAGAAATGTTCAATAAAGCTTGCCCCTCCATTCACCAGAACTGTGCAATTATTAGATGAGAAATTTTCAATTCAGCTTGCCTCTCCATGCAGCAGAATGTTGCAAATCATACACCAGAAATTTTCAATACAAACAGGCTCCCAGAAAATTTTACACCAGAAAATTTTAATTGACCAGAACGATGCAAATTTTCCACCGTTAATGTTCAATAAAAATAGTTTATCCAATCTTCTGATTGTTGCCGATTTCCATTTTCCACCAGATATTTTCAAATAAAGCTTACCCCTATTTTCATACTTTTCATCATAAATTTTCAGTAAAGCAGCTTCCCTCCAATCATCAGAATGGTGCAAATTTTACACCAGAAATTATTATTAAAATATGTTTCTCTATTCAGCATATTTAAGACCAAAATTTTTCCGAAAAGCTAGCCCATCCGTTCACCAGAACGGTGCAGATTTTCCACCAGAAATTTTAAATTTAGCGTAATTTTAAATAAAGCTTGTGCCTTCATTTACCAGACTAGTTCAAGTTTTCCACCAGAAATTTTTTGTTCATTCCATTTATCAAAGCGATGCAAATTTCGCACCAGAAATTTTCAAAAGAGCAGGCTCCTCCATTCACCAGAACGGTGCACCAAAAATTGTCAGTGAAGTTTGTTTCACCATGCACCTTTGTGGTTCTATTTTCAGGATTTGCCTCTTCATGCAGAATGGTGCAAATTTTCCACCATAAATTTTAAATGAAGCTTGCATTCATCAGAACGACGCAAACTATGCACCAGAAAAATTAATAATCCTTGCTTTTACATTCACCACAGTGTTGCGAACTTTCCACCAGAAATTTTCAGTTAATCTTTTCTTTAAAAAAAAATTACAAGAGAAATTTTTTGTATTCACCAATGTGGTGCAATTTTTTGATCAAAAAAATTCATTGAAGTTTGTCCCTTCATTCACCTTTGTGGTGCAATTTTCAGATACCATCTCAAAGGAATTGACGCAATAAAAGGGTTTCAATTTTACCTTCGAATCAAGTTATCAAGAAATCTAGAAACTTTTTTATAACTTGGAAAATGTGGAAATAAAAATCTTATTTGTAAAAGGTGGGGCAGTTGCCCCACCCTGTGCACGCCAGTGTAAGTAGCTGTGGATCATCAATGCCTAGCGCGTCAACCTTGCTCCAAACAATTAACAGATCGCCAGCCTCATCCGTGTTGAACACCCTACTAGCTCAGCATTACTCAGCCATCACGACTAAACGGTCCTTTTCCGGGCCACCACAAATTTGTTAAAGAGTATTATTTGGACATTTGTCAAGTTCATCAGTTCCCGCAACCAGCTAGCTATCAAGGCTCAACCTGTCTATAGAAGGTGTGGAATTGTAGGCCTGATTGTATTGGTGAGATTAATCATATCGTCCGGCCATTTTCCAGAGACGGCGCTGTTCCGCTGGTAGGAAGTGATAAAAATCCACATATAGAATTTGAAAGAAGTGGGAATAATTCGCTTTAGGTGCATATTCCGGTAAAAAAGTGAACGACAAGTTAAATTAATTAGTCAGGGACAATCATTAAATGAAATTTTGTTTTCCCGGAAAATATTTTATGTTTAATATAAATGATTTTTCTTCATACAGTTTTACCTGCTTTACTACAAACCCCCAGAAAGCCAAAAAATTCAAATTTGTGAGAAAATTAGCTCTTACGAGCTCAATCTCTCAATTGCCATGTTTTTTATGACACCCA